CTGAAGAACTGTCTTGGTCAGATTGGCCTGTGAGGATGCAGATGGAGATTTCCTTGATTATCAATTGATGTAGGGCGCCCAGTGCACAGTGGGCAGCACCATCTCATGGCAGGCGGGTCTGCAAAGTATAAGAAAGCAAGTTGAGCATCAGTCAGAGAATGAGACACTCAGCAGCTTTCCTCCTTTGTTCCGCCTTGAGTTTCTGCCCTGACTTCCCTTTGTGATTAATTGTGATCTGGTGGTGTAAAGTAAGTAAACCCTTTCCTCCCCAAGTTGCTTTTGGTCAGTGTTTTCTTTATCACAGCAACGGAACAGAATAAGAAGACAATGAAAGAATGGATACTGGGTGACGACCCACAGTCTCTGTGACATTCCCTTTCCACATTCCTAAAGCCAGTTTTGGTTGGAGATTGTGGCACTACCACAGGACAGCTGGTGGGCTTCTGAATCACAACATGGGGCAAGGCAAACAGCTCTTGAGCAACGAAGAGGATTCAAAACGGCAGTAGTTCAGAAAATTACCTTGCTGAAGCCAAAGAGCAGATGTCTAGAATTCTGTGTCTTTGAACGTGGGTCCCAGGCCTGCAATTAGCATTGCTGTGGTAGAGAACATTCAGGGAGAGGGGTCACAATGGTGGATAGACAAGAAGGGCCACATTATTGTGAGAAGGTAAGGCTTTTGTCTTTTGTGAAGCTGTATGTTCTTCAAGTGTCACAATAGTCCCCACTTGCCTGCTTCTCACAGGTTGCCCTGTTGGGTCAGGTTGAAACTGATTCTAATGGTCTCTATCGATCCAGCAACTTTACTAGGCAAAGCCAGGCACCTCTTCTGCAACCCCACCGTCACAGTTCAACCTACCAGTCCCTTTAATCCTGTCTTCACACTCTCCACCCTGATGGTATGTATATACAGGCTCCAGTGTCCTGGGACTCTGGGACAAGGTGGAGACCAAGCTTCCTATATGAAGTGGTGCGACCCGAGGCAGATCACTTAGCCTGCACATTAGAAGCTAAACCAAATGGCTTGTACTTGGTGATATAAAAACAGCTGTGTGCTGAGTCCCCTGGTAGGCATTGAAGGAGGGGATAAGGAATAAGAAGCTTGCCTCCAATGGGCTGCCAAGCTCAGAGCATGGATGGGGAGGAAGGCTTACTAGGTGAGCTCCCACCCCTAACTCCTTTCTTGGGAGAGTTGGCCAGTCTAGGTAGAGCAGAGGAAGCCCACATGTGACAGGACTTCTGCCATTCCCAGTTGTCATGGAAATGATGCTAGCAGAGGCTTCTGGCGACTTAAGGAGACCTTCAGGCCATAGCAGAATCTGCCATGCATTTTACTTGATCAAGTGCATTGGTTCTGGAGCCAGAGCTGGGTTCAAACAATTTTGCAATTGCTGGTGTGCGCCCTTGGGCAGCGGTTATTCACCTCTTGATCTGCAGAGGTATGCTACCAGTGCTACTCATACGGGAAAGCTAGGAGAAGGAGGATGGATTAAGATTGCCCACAGAACATGCTCCTTCACTTCTGCCTTATGTCCCAGAAAGCACCGGTCCTCAGGCCTGCACTTTCAAAATAATTTCTTGGAATTAAGAAATAGGACTTTCTTTCCCTCTCTGTTTCCTGTTCCACTTTTTGGCTCCTCCTGTTTGCCAGTATCAAACATGACTGTAATACAGCAGTCAGATCTGATTTCCCCTCCCCACTCCATCCACTTGTGGGCCTTCTAGATGCAGAGACACGCGTCTTCCAATCATCATTCTGCAGTATTGGAGATGCAAAACTGGAGACGCTATTTCCCCTAACCTGGTCCTTTCCATTGAACAGAGAATCATATGGACTGCATTTAAAATTAGTAATGCCCTTTCAGCCAAGGTGTATCAGTCTCTGGGTTCTCCCCCCCAGCCAACTTCCAAGAGTCAGAGCTGCTCTACAATGTGAGAAATAAGGCAGCAGACTCTTGCCTGCGGCGGACAGATGACCTCTAGCAGCTAGAGATGGTGCAGGAATATTTAGGTTAGAAGTTGTCCGGATCATCCCGGTTAGGAGGCAGGAGAGGGCCCTGACTTCCTAGAACCTGCAGACAGAAAAGGGAGCTTGCTTTTGAAGTGAGGATGCTGGGGACTTGGCCTCAAAGACAGGCTAATTATAAAGTAACTGTAACAGGGAACATGGATCAGCCAGGTCTGGTGACTCATGAGGCTTCAGGGAGGCTTCAGGCCAAGGAAGGATCTGGAAGGTTAGTGTCTGAACCCAGTATTTTATGACTTGGGATTCCCTCACTGCCCACACTGGGAGAGCTGAGAGTTCTCAGGGTCACAGCTTTCTGAGGATCCATAGTTGTGAGTGGAGGACTGGGATAAGAATTCAGGGTCCAGATTTCTGTCCCTGCTCCAAGCTTTGGTCCTACCACCTACCTCTCTTCTCTGTTCATATTCCACTGCTCCAGCCTGGTCTCCTGCCTATTGATAACGGTGCCCGCAGTGGCTTATTCTTATGCCTTGTGACATTCTCCCAGAGCCTCACAGTGATCCTCAAATACTGCTGACAACCTTGTCTGCAAGGCCCTCCTTCCTGGGCCTTCTAACATTGGTTTCCAGTTCTTATTCAATCTTCTCTTCAGAGATGCTGTCTGTGGTCCCTGGGCATGGGCCTTCTCCATGGTTCTGTCAATGCTCTGTCTGTGATACCTGGGCAGGGGCCTTCTCCATGGTTCTGCCCATATTCTGTCTGTGGTCCCTGGGCATGGGCCTTCTCCATGGTTCTGCCCATGTTCTGTCTGTGATACCTGGGCATGGGCCTTCTCTATGGTTCTACCTACGCTCTGTCTGTGGTCCCTGGGCATGGGCCTTCTCCATGGTTCTGCCCATGCTCTTTCTGTGGTCCCTGGGCATGGGCCTTCTCCATGGTTCTGCCCATATTCTGTCTGTGGTCCCTGGGCATGGGCCTTCTCCATGGTGATGCCCATATTCTGCCTGTGGTTCTGGGCATGGGCCTTCTCCATGGTTCTGCCCATGTTCTGTCTGTGGTCCCTAGGCATTGGCCTTCTCCATGGTTCTGCCCATATTCTGTCTGTGGTCCCTGGGCATGGGCCTTCTCCATGGTTCTGCCCATGTTCTGTCTGTGGTCCCTGGGCATGGGTCTTCTCCATGGTTCTGCCCTTGCTCTTTTTGTGGTCCCTAGGCATTGGCCTTCTCCATGGTTCTGCCCATGCTCTTTCTGTGGTCCCTGGGCATGGGCCCTTCTCCATGGTTCTGCCCTTGCTCTTTTTGTGGTCCCTTTTCCACGGTTTTCTCCATGCTCTGTCTGTGGTCCCTGGGCATGGGCCTTCTTCATGGTTCTGCCCATGCTCTGGTTCTGGCTTTTTATCTCCTCTCCTCACCCACTGGTGCTTCTTCAGCTCCAAGGGTGACATCCTTGGCAAGGCTCTAAGTACCACCCCCTTGTGCCACGACAGAACTCCCCAGGCCATTGCACAGGTACTTCAAGCTCAGTATCTGTAAACTTAGCCCCCCTCCAATTATCACTGCTTCCTGATAGCTGAGATAACACGTGGCCCAACTTTGGCAATTGATAGTTCCTTCCTCTCAGTTTAATGATTCCCAAGTTTTCAGTGTCTGAAAAGTCCCCTCTGTCCCCGGATCTCAGGTGTAAGGATTTCCTGGTCATAGGCGTTCATGCACACATTCCACAAATAGTTTCCGAGCATATTTTTCTGGCCCGAGTTGGCCCCAGCAACTCCATAGCAAAAAAGACTGGGCTAACTCTGAGGGACTTAGATGGAACATAGGACGCATCAGTTAAAGCCATTCTGAAAATAAAGAATCTATAATCTGAAAGAACTTTAATAGTGTGGGATGGCTATCACTGTGCGTCAGAACGGGGCGGAGGCCAAGGATATCCTAAACAGAGAGAACGGCAGGCAGCATGCTCATCTGTGCTTTAGGAATTCCTGTGTGTGCCTGTGTTAGGCAGAGTAACCATGCCCAAAGATGCCAGGACCCAAATCTCTAGATCTGTGAATTTGCTACTTTATAGGACAAAGAACTGAAGTTGTAGATGTATTGAGGCGACCACCATCAGGGAACCATTAGACAGGTTTTCCTGGATGGTCACTTGGGATCCTTAGAAGTGGAAGGGGTGCTGGTGAGATGGCTCTGGGTAAGGGTGCCTGCTGCCTAGCGTCAAGCCGGTTTGATTCCATAATGGAAGGAGAGAAGAGACTCCCACAAGTTATCTTCTGACCTCTCAATGTGATCTGCAACCCGTGCAAGCATACTCTCACGCAAGCAACAAAACAAATAAATAAAAATAAAACAAACAAATAAAAATGCATTTTTTTTTTTAAGTGGAGGGAGATAGAAGAAAGCCAGAGAAAGCTCTGGTAATGGAAGCAAAGCAATAGTGTGGAAGACCCTTGGCGGTGATAACGTCCATATATCAAAAATTATAGTTAACACCCGTGTGCCCTCAGAGGACCAGATCCAAGAAAATGCAGAAGGGTCACAGGAGGGCACCCAAGGGCAACGCCAAGACCCCAAGGCCAGGTGCTCCTCCTTCCTCTTCCTGCAGACCCCCCTTCTTCTTGGGGGCAGCGTCTCAAGGACAAGCCCCAAGGGACAAGGTGGTTGGGACAGCTGTGCTATGCATCCCCACCTCAGGTCCCCTAGACCAGCCAGCCCTGTCCCCTCTGCTTTCGCTCCCCCAGTTCCCAGATCTGAGGCTGTTCTTTGGCGGCCGCCGAGGTTGCTGCCTGCTTTCCTGAGGCACGGGCCACACGTGGCACGAGCAGGGGTCAGCGCCGGGAGCTGGTGGCTGGTCCTGTGGGCTTCTCACTTCCCTTCCCCAACCGCCGCGCGTGCAGGTGCCCAGCTGAGCCCAGCGGGCGGGGCGGACCCTATGGACACGCCCCCGCGTGAGTCCCTGATGCCCCGCGGGAGGAAGCGGCAGAGTCGCCACTGTCCTGAGCGCAGCCGAGCTCCACTCCCTCCCAGTGCCAGCGACATCGCCCACTGCGGCTGCGGGCACCGGATACCGTGCTCCAGGCTGGCCGGGGATGCGAGCTGCTCCCGCGACGGCATGGCAGCCTCAGGTGGGTAGCAGGCACGGTGCTCCCTGGCTCCCGGGTCCCGGCTCGCGCCCCGCCGCTGGTCCCTGAGCCTCTTTGGCGCCACCCACACGGCCTGACTAGCTTTTCTCTCACTTCTTTAGACCTTAGTGCTGGGATCTTGTGTTCTTACTGATGTTTTCTCAGGTCTTCGGTAGCAAACTTCCCCTCCCAACTTTCTCACGTTTTGCCTGTGCGCGATTCTCTCCAGTTTCTGCCCGAACTTCGCGCCATCCCAGTTTCTAAGTTTCCTTTTCTCTCTCTAGTTCTGGTCCAAGTAGCCCTAGGGTTTCTTTCTCAGTTGTAACTTTTTGAGTATTGGGACCAGTTGAAAGGAGATTAAGGGCCTGCTTCTCTAAAAGGCCAAATCTTAGAGTCTTATCTGATCAATAGGGGGCGCTCAGGCGTCCTAGGTGGTCCTGGGAGATCAGAGGTGGTCCTGGGGCAGCTTACGAGATCCCCTTCATCCACCGGGCTTATATTTTTTCCTCTGGAAATGTGCTGAAACCCGAGGCCGCTGCCATTTTAAAGCTCCTCTTACTGGTTCTCCGTGGGACTTTAAGGTCCAGGGCAAATTGGAAATTGGTGGGCAAATGTACCCGTCAGAGGGTGCCAGCGTTTCTTCTGGCTGGTCTTGGGTTCTTTTCTGGATCAAGAGTGTATATACTTGGCAAGTCCTCAGCTCACTGAGGTCTAGGACAAACCACACAAGGATAATGTTGAAAGACGATTAATGGCCCCTGCCTATGCACCTCAGTGGACATTAGACATATTATGTTCTTGGTGATGAAGGGCAGGCCTGGTCTCTCTTCACCACAGGGTTTTGGTGGTTGGTGTGAAAGAAAACAGTGAGTAAATAGGGAATTGCTAGGTGAGAAGAGAGAGTTGCCTGCTTTTGGTTTGGTTTACTTGTGTTTACCCAGCCCAAGGCTGTTGTTTTTAGCGAGGCAGTGCCTGAAAACAGGATGAAAGAAGTGTAGCGGGCTGGGGAAGTCACCGCTTTGAAAGGAAGGGAGCATCTGCTGGACAGAAGAACCAGCTCTCTCCAGATCTGCAAAGGCCTAGCCTGAGGTCATGGTACTCTGGAACCAGGGTGCAAAGGGCCGTGATGGACAGGCTCATTACTAAAGATGGTGGGAGTGGTTCTTCTCTGCCTGTCGCTCCCTAGTCAGGCTCTATGGGTTAGAAGAATCAGTGATGGAGGTAAGGGTTCTATACAGGGGTTCATTCACTGGGCAGACATTGATGTCATGATTGTGGTTTTCCAGGCATGGTGCTAGGTGTTCAGGAAACCAGAAGATAAAAGCCATGTAACCGTGAAGACAGGGAAGGCAATGACTCATTTAGTAAGACAGTACTTGGCATGGTATGGGCAATGGGAAAACAGACGGGAGTGAGGGGGTTTGAGTTAGACTTTTAAATGGAATGGTTAGGTGAAGTCGCAGAACAAGGGAAGTTAGGCAAGACCCAAAGGAGGGGGAGATAGAGGGCCCCGGGGAGGTGAGCACTCCAAGAAGGAGGGCTGTGCCATGTGTTCAAGATACAGGGAACAACTATCACGGCTGGGTGGATGGAGGGGTTAGGAAGAGAAGAAAATAACTGGCTATGCTCTACTTCCTTTCCTGGCTAGAACAGGCAAACAGCAAACTGGCGAGACTTGAGCAAAGGAGGCCAAGCAACCTGCTTTCCCTGTCTTGTGTCTAGAAGGCTGACTCCAAGGGGTGTAGCTGAAGGGGCTAACCTCGACAGGTGGACTAGGGTTCAGATGAGGACTCCAGCCCAGCAACCAAACCTGGTGCACTCTTTGGATTGGTGAATAAAGTTATTCAAACCTCTTGCTGTCATTGCCTCTGTGGTGAGACACCGTGCCAGGTGGTGGGAGTGAGACTGGGTCCCCCTGGGCTCCCTACGGTCTATAGCTACAAGTCCTTGAGAGGGCAGGTCACAGTGGAAGGAAGTCTTGTTTCACTGCTAACATGCCATAGGCTCGAGAGTCATCTAGGCCAACCTTCTGTATGGTTTTCTTATTTTTAAAATAATATTATAATATGTTTACCCCAAATGCTCTGTGTCTAACCTTTTGACATCGTGGCATGACATCATCTCAAAATGAGTTGAGTCACATTCATAGCTATGCTGGGATATGTTCGACTCATGGGCTACTGATTGGACGTGCCTGAAGAGTGCAGTGAAGGGTTTCTAGTGTCTTCACAAGCACGTGACCTTGAGAGGGATGTCATCCCCTCAAAGAGAGGTGTTGCCTCCTTTCCAGTACACCCATCTACCTCACCTCTGGAATGCTCTGCTCTGAGCTGGATAATGAATGCGATCGTGTGGTCTGTGGCTTTAGTGACTGACTTCTTGCTGCGTAATTCGTTCAAGGTCCACTCAGCTGTAGCTTAATCCTCTGGCCTGCTTAAATACCCTGCCATCGGAGGGTGAAAGTCAGTCTTTCCTGAAAGATGTGTTTGCTTCGTTTGCTTGAAATCGCGAAGAATCTTGGCCTCTTGGCCTCAGAAGAACCTTGAGTAGTGAGGTGAAATGTGAGCACAATGTGCTGGAATAATTTCCCTTATTTATGAGGGAGGGAGGGAGAGAGAGAGAGAGAGAGAGAGAGAGAGAGAGAGAGAGAGAGAGAGAAGAGCCTGGGGCTTCCCCAAAGGTACCAAGTCTGCAGCTGGTGAAGACCAGAGTCCTCCCTTCCAGGCTGTGGCCTCCAAGAACCTGAGGAAAGAGCTCAGATCTTGTCCTGCCCCCTCCTCCCAGGTTCCTCTTGAGCTCCTCCTGCCATTCCTGGATGTATAGGGTCACAGACTTGTAGTGCTTGTCACCAAACCTGATGACTTGAATTTGATCACCTAGGACTCACATGGGAGCCCCCCCCCGGGAGAGGGAGTACTGGATCCTGCAAGTTGTTCCTGGACCTGCACATGTATGCTGTGGTTTCATGAACACACGCACAGCATGCACATGCACAGACAACAATAAGTGAATGAATGAACGAAGAGTGGTGCTCTGGCTCGAACATGGCTCCAGGTCAAATAGACAGGGTCCCAGGGGCAGTGTCAGTCATTGTGTGTTGGTCCCCCCTCCCCGCCCCCGTGTCCCACCCATCCCACTACTGTGACTCTCTCCCATCCGTGGTCAGCCAGCCCCTTCCCGGACTCAGTCCATTCCTGGCGCCTGAAGCCAAACCTGTTCTTTGCGGTCCACGAGAACAAAGCCCTTTCCTCTGTTCTGCCACGGTTTGTGGGCTCCTGGTTGGCTCACGCATTGTTTCTCTTACTGAATAGGAAAAAGAAGTGGTTGAGAATGGGGAGCAATGACTTGGGGCTGAAGGAAGGGAATTGTTGTGGAAGAAAGGGGCATTCCCCCACACAGGGAGAGTTGCTGACAAAGCTGATAGCCCTGGGCTGCTCCCTCGGGGAGGAACTTGAACTTCCACTTTGGACTTTTTTACAACTTCCCCAGCTTTTTATTTCAGCAGCCCTGAAGGAGTCAGGAGGATGGTAAATTGAGTTGCAGTTATTTACAGTGAGGGCAGATTTGCCTCCGTTTATGATATTGGTTGAAGTCAAACTGCAGTAAACACAAACACACACGTGTGCACGTGTGCGCGCACACACAGATATACACAGTCACAGAGGTTGTGATATTAATTTGACCGAGGCACTAGCCACTTTCTTCTCAAATATTCTTTTAATTTATTATTAAATTATTGTTCTTATGCATTGGTATTATGGCTGCATGTATATCTAGGTGAGTATGTTGGATTCCCTGGAACTGGAGTTATAGACAGTTGTGAGCTGCCATGTGGGAGAGGGGAATTGAACCCAGGTCCTTTGGAAGAGTCACCAGTGTTCTTAACCACTGAGCCATCTTGCTAGTCCCTGGACAATCTAGGACTTTTTGTTTTGTATTATTTTGCTTTGTATTTTCAAGACAAGGTTTCTCTGTGTAATCCTGGCTGTCCTAGAACTAGCTCTGTAGACCAGGCTAGCCTTAAACTCACAGAGATCCACCTGCCTCTGCCTCTTGAGTGCTGGGATTAAGGGTGTGGGCCTTCCTAAATACTCTTGCCCAATGGAGATTGGGTTCAAACCTTGAGTCCCAGGAACAAGCCACTTTGGGCTGCTTTCCATATTCAATTGGATTTTTAATAAAGTTATTTTGGAACAGATTTAGATTTCCAGGAAAATGACAAAAACTTTGTAGAGTTCCCATGTATTCTAATCCCCTTTCTTATTGGCAATTTACATTAATGTGATACACTTACTGAAATACCTAAACCAGTATTGCGAACTATTATTTTTGGAGGGTGCCTTTTTTTTTTTTCGAGACAGGGTTTCTCTGTAGCTTTGGTGCCGGTCCCGGAACTAGCTCTTGTAGACCAGGCTGGCCTTGAACTCCCAGAGATCCGCCTGCCTCTGCCTCCCGAGTGCTGGGATTAAAGGCGTATGCCATCACTGCCTGGCTATTGGAGGGTGTCTTTTAAGATAAGATATCAGCAATAGCTTGGAACTCACTGTGTGTCCCAGGTTGGACTCTATAATTCTTGCTTCTGCTGCTTCGGCTTCCCACATTCTGGGTGGTCAGTTAGTTTTTAGCCTATGCTTTTTTTCAAGTCTCCTTAATTTGTACACAATGTCCCTGCTTTCCATTCAAGATACCACACTTCATTTCCCAGTGATATCTCCTTAGGTGCCTCTCAGCTGGGATTTTATCATATTTTCCTAGATCTTGATAACCCTTGCCAATCCTTTTTTAAAGGAAGATTTTATGAGTACCAGTGTTTTGCCCGCGTGTATGTATGTGCACCACATAAATGCCTGATGCCCAAGGAGCTCAGAAGAGGGCATCAGCTTTCTTGGAACTGGAATTACAGAAAGTGTGAGCCATCATGTAGATGCTGGGCACCGGATCCCAGACCTCTGCAAGAGCAACAAATGCTCGTAATTGCTGAGCTTAATCTCAAAACCCTTGGCAGTCCTTTAGAAGTGCAGTATTTTTACTGATCATTTGAGAATTCATATGTGTGTACAGTGTGTTTAGTTTATGCTCACCCCCCCCCACACACACACACAGCTTGTCCTGGACCCCTTACTTTTTCCTCCTGACCTCACCTCTCACTTTGAAAATCTTGAGAAGCGCTAGTCAGGGATTTTGTGGGTTTTATTCGAAGAGCACAGGCTTTTAACACATCTCCTGGTTGTTGATAGTGATCTTGGTCATTGGGTGGAGACGGTATTTGCTGAATTTGTGCACTCTGAAGTGACTGTCTCTGTCTTTCCATACTGGACTCTTTGGAAAGAAATCACTGGGCACAACCCACATTTAGGAAGAGCCGTGTTGAGTTTCCCTGAGGGTTGGGTTACCTACAGAAATTATCTGGGATTTGTATGCATAAGAAATTTGTATTTTTCTTCAGCGTTTTTTTTTGGGAGGGGGGGTTGGTTTTTTGAGACACGGTTTTTTCTGCACGGTTTTTTCTGCTTAGCCCTCGCTGTCCTGGAACTCACTCTGTAGACTAGGCTGGCCTTGAACTCCCAGAGAGTTCCTACCTGCTCCTGCTTCCTGAGTGCTGGGATTAAAGGCTTACACCACCACTGCCTGGATTTTTGTTTTGTTTTTCGAGACAGGGTCTCTCTGTAGCTTTGGAGCCTGTCCTGGAACTCGCTCTATAGACCAGGCTGGCCTCAAACTCACAGAGATCTATTTGTACAAGAGCCTTTGCCTGATCAGCCATCTAGTCGGCCTCATTATGAACATCCATCCCCCTGCCTCAACCTGTCAGGTACTAGGATGGCTAGCCTCACTTTCTTCTTCCTCTTTTTAAAAATAATTTATTTGTTTTTATTTTATGAGAATTGATAGGTGTTTTGCCTGTATACATGTCTGTGTGAGGGTGTCAGATTCTCTAGAATTGAAGTTACAGACGGTTGTAAGCTGTCATGTGGGTGCTGGGAATTGAACCCTGCTCCTCTAGAAGAGTAGCCAGTGATCTTAACCGCTGAGCTATGTCTCCAGCCCATTCCTCCTTCTCTTTCATTTTTATAATATTAATCTTAATTTTTTAAATTATATTTTCATGCATTTATATGTGCATGTCTGTGTCTGCCAGTGTCAGCAGGGGCCAGGAGAAGGCGTTGGATCCACTGAAGCTGAATCTATAGGCAGTTGTGAGCTGCCTGACGTGGATGCTGGGACTTCAGCCTTCATCCTCTGGAAGAACAAGTGCTCCTAACCACTAGCCTTACTTTCTTTTTTTTTTTCCTTTTTATTGAGCTCTACATTTTTCTCTGCTCTCCTCCCTGCCTCTCCCTTCTCCCCTTCTGCCCTCCCCCAAGGTCCCCAGGCTCCCAATTTACTCAGGAGATTTTGTCTTTTTCTACTTCCCATGTAGATTAGATCTATGTAAGTCTCTCTTAGTGTCCTCATTGTTGTCTATGTTCTCTGGGATTGTGGTTTGTAGGCTGGCTTTCTTTGCTTTATGTTTAAAAAATACCCGTGAGTGAGTACATGTAATAATTGTCTTTCTGTGTCTGGGTAACCTCACTCAAAATAATGCTTTCTAGCTCCATCCATTTTCTTGCAAAATTTAAGATGTTGTTATTTTTTCTGCTGTGTAGGACTCCATTGTGTCAATGTACCACATTTTCCTTATCCATTCTTTGATAGAGGGGAATTTAGGTTGTTTCCAGGTTCTGGCTATGACAAACAAAGCTACTATGAATATAGTTGAGCACATGTCTTTGTGGCATGATTGAGCATCCTTTGGATATATACCCAAAAGTGGTATTACTGGGTCTTGAGGAAGGTTGTTTTCTAATTTTCTGAGAAATGACCACACTGATATCCAAAGGGGCTGTACCAGCTTGCATTCCCACCAGCAATGCAGAAGTGTTCCCTTTTCCCTACAACCTCTCCAGCATAAGTTGTCACCAGTGTTTTTGATCTTGGCCATTCTTCCAGGTGTAAGATGGAGTCTCAGAGTTGTTTAGATTTGCATTTCTCTGATGACTAAGGATGTTGAACATTTCCTTAAGTGTCTCTCAACCATTTTAGATTCCTCTGTTGAGAGTTCTCTGTTTAGGTCTGTACTCCCTTTTTGTATTGGATTATGTGTTCTTTTGGTGTCCAATTTCTTGAGTTCTTTGTATATTTTGAAGATTAGACCTCTGTCTGATGTGGGGTTAGTGAAGATCTTTTCCCATTCTGTAGGCTGTCGTTTTGTCTTGTTGACCGTCTCCTTTGCTAATTTACAGAAGCTTTTCACTTTCAGGAGGTCCCATTTATTAATTGTTGCTCTCAGTATCTGTGCTACTGGAGTTATATTTAGGAAGTGGTCTCCTGTGCCAATGCATTCAAGTGTATTTCCCACTTTCTCTTCTATAAGGTTCAGTGTGGCTGGCTTTATGTTGAGGTCTTGGATCCATTTGGACTTGAGTTTTGTGCATGGTGATAGATATGGGTCTATTTTCATTCTTCTACATGTTGATATCCAGTTATGCCAGCACCACTTGTTACACTTGTTAAATATGCTTTTTTCCATTTGATATTTTTTTGCTTCTTTGTCAAAAATCAGGTGTTCAAAGATGTGTGGATTGATATCCGGGTCTTCTGTTCAGTTCCATTGGTCCTCCTGTCTGTTCTTATGTCATAGCCATACTTTCTTAGTGATGCTTCTTATGTTCACGACATCCTCTTCTCCTTTACTTTTTTGTTCACTTGTTAACCTTTCAGAAGACATTGCCATTGGCTTGGCATGGTGGCACATACCTCTAAACCCTGGCCCTTGGGAAGTGGAGCCAGGAGGGTCTAGATTCAAGTTAGCTACCCAGGTAGATGGTCAGAAAAAAGAATTTTTTTCCTATGGTCTTTTTTGATCTTAGAGTCCCAGTGACTTACTCTGATCCTGTTTCTGAGCTTACCTGGAACCGCTCAGTGATATATGGATCTGAGATGCCATTTCTTTATTTTTATCATGCGTGCATACGTGCTGTGTGTACATGTGTACCATGGCATGTGTGTGGAGGTCAGAGGACAACTTTGCGGCATTGATTCTGTCATTTTATCTTCTGGAAACTGCACTCAGGTGACCAAGCACCTTTACGTCCTGAGCTACCTCAACACTCCCAGGGCTGACATTTCATTGTGAAAACCTACGACTTAGGTCACTGTTTCAGGAAGGGTCCCCTGCCCTTCCCCCAGCCTGCTTCATCATAGGATGCTTGTAACTTTGTGTTCATCCATGCCACATTATTTCCAGACTAGGATGTCAAAGCCACGGTGTGATAGGAGGAAGTAGAGGTTGGGACAAAGGACTGGACTGAGAACCACCATGAGTGTTGGTCCTGGCTCTACTGTTAACTCACTGATTGTGAATCTGAGTAAGCCCCTTCATCTTCTCAGACAATGTGTTTCTTTCACCTGTAAGTGAAGGATAAGGACTAAGTGACTCCATCCCTGCCCTCTTGGCCTGTTTGTTTCTGCCCTTCTGTGCTTCCTTAGGAGAAGAAAGCTCCTGTCACAGACCAACGGTGGGGGAGAGAAGGTCAAAGCATCAACTCACAATGATGCACGGTCAATGAGAGGATCATGACACCAGTCTCCACCTCCCGAGGGTTCTTTTTCTACTCCAAGCTCTTTGCTGAGCACTTGACCTGAGATCCACATAAAAACTGCCATGCTGTTTCTACTTCCAGACAAGGAAACTAAGGCCCAGAAGATTTTAGTAATTTTTCCTGGAGTTGTGTGGCTAGTTGGCAGAACCAGAATTCTGACCCTCACAGTCTGATCTCACTGCTATGTTCCTGACCACTGTATTTGAAACAGAACTATGTTTCAGGGTCAGATCAGCTACTGGCTACATCTGTGAGCCCTGGCTAAGTAACTCAATGTGCTACATTGAGCACCAACGGCAAGGGTCTGTTGGCGGCCTGCTCTGATCACCCAAGAGAGCTGTGAACCTCTCCCTCAGCTTTTACTCTCTGTCTTTGGCAGACAAGACCACGCCCTAGGGCTTGCTGTCCCAAAAGTCATTGGCTAAATGTATTGAAACCCTACCACAGGCACATGTTTGGGTGATGAGTGTGGCGTATCTGGCACATTGGTGGACTGCAAGAAGGGAAAAGGGCTAGACAAATGGATTAGGTATTCCTGGGAAGTTGTAGGTACCAGGCCCTGTTGGACAGTGTGTCTCCCTAGTTTCAGATTGCCTCCAAGAAGGAGCAGGCATTAACGAGCTTCCCTGTCTCCTTGCAGGGTGGGGCCGAGGATGCGACATTCTCATCTTCTACAGCCAAGATGCGGAGGAATGGTGCCAGTACTTACAGGACCTTTTCATATCCTGCCATCAGGTCCGCAGCCAGAAGATGCGGACATACCGGCTGGGTCCGGATACCTCCTTCTCTGCCCAGGACCTGTGGGTGTTCCGGGATGCACGGTGCATGCTGGTGCTACTGTCTGCGGGGCTGGTGGAATGTTTCTGCCAGCCAGGACTGCTGCCGGTGCTGCAGCGCGCCTTCCACCCTCCGCAGCGGGTGGTGCGGCTGCTGTGCGGAGTGCAGTCAGAGGATGAGGACTTTGAGACCTTCTTTCCGGAGTGGGCGCATTGGCAGGAGCTCACCTGTGATGATGAGCCGGAGACCTACCTGGCGGCTGTGAGAAAAGTCATTTCTGAAGGTAAGGAAGAGAGGCGCGCTCAAGCGGAATCACGTAGAGCGGCATTCTAGATCCAGGCGAAGTATCTTTATCTGATACTTGTTGGTTATTTGTGTTAGAAAATGAGGAAAACTCTCCTCGGAGCCGGTGTCCCCCGAGGCTCTAGCTCAGGGAGAGAGTACTTCCTACCACGTGCAAGGCCCTGGAGTCAATCCTCCAGAGATTTAGGCAGTTCTTGGTTTAGAGCAGCCAGATTTCTAAGATGGGATAGGTTGAACCTTCTTTCTAGAATTTTCTATGCTTCGGACGACACAGAATCCAGGTTCCCTACTACAAGCAGGATAGGAAGGAGAGACTTTGATGATTATGGTGTGACTGGCTCGCCCACCAGCCCTTATCACTGCAGCCCTCCCTGCGTGCCTTCCGCTTCCACTCTCTTCTTTGCAGTGATCTTGATAGCACTGTTGAAATGTCAATTAAAAAGAACCCATTTATGGAGCAATAACCCTCTTTTTTTCTCATCGGCCCACCTTCTGTCGTTCTCACTGCTTCTCCTTTCAAACTGGTAACTTTCCAGTCCTTTCTGCAGGGCTGATGACTTCCCTGGGGCCAGGATATGACACATACTCTGATTAACAGAAGCAGAAGATGAGCCCTGGGATGGTTGCAGGTCACAGCTTTTCTTCCCCTTTTGGCTTTTCTTTTTGGCCTTCGTGCAAGCCGTGAGCAGGCTGTGCGTCTGCCTTCTGTTTCCTTGCCATTTGAGAGCTTACATACTTGGCGCCAGCCAAGAAAGCTGGACAATTACAGGCCCAATTCCCTTTGCCTCGGTAGTTCCAGGTGTAACGTGCGCATTAAGGTAGCTCATCCATCCCCTCTTCCATTTCCTGATCCAAAGCCAGAATTTACCAACTCTAAGATGGGCCTGGTGGTTCCTACAGGCTTGAAATCCCAGCTCTTTGAGAGACAGTAGCAGGAAGATCCAAAGTTCAAGGTCGGCCTGGGCTACACACAGTAAGTTCAAGGCCAGACTCTGTTTTAGGGTGGGGTGGACGAAGGTGCGGAGAGGGCTGAGAATGTAGCTCCATTCTGAAATACTTCCTCGGCCCTAGTGTGTGCAAGGATGGAGGTTCAATCCCCAGGACTGAAGCAAGAACAGCAACTCTGTGTCCTGGTTTGCGTTCTGGTGCTGTGATAACGCATGCGGACCAAAGATCATCTGGGGGAGGAAGGGATTTATCCCAGCTTCCATGTTTTAGTTTGTCACCAAGGAAAGCTAAAGCAGGGACTTCAGGCAGGAGCTCCAGTCAGAATCCAATGGATGAATGCTGCTTACTGGCTTACTCCCTAAGGCTTGCTCAGCTTGCATTCTTACACAGACTAGAACCACCAACCCACAGGAAAGCCCTTCCCAGACAATTGCTCATCAAACAAATGCTCCAAAGACATGCTCGCAGGTCAGTCTGATGATGGCAATTCTTCAGCTGAGGTTTCCTGCTTCCTGGGTGATATAACCTGTGAGTATGACCAGGTCTCAGCATAGTAGAGTCGTGTTCACTTTGTAATACAAATAACAGGTGTTTTTTGTTTTTTTGAGACACGGTTTCTCTGTAGCTTTGGAGCCTGTTCTGGAACTAGCTCTTATAGACCAGGCTGTGAACTCACAGAGATCCTCCTGCCTCTGCCTCCCGAGTGCTGGGATTAAAGCAAGTACTGGTGTTAATGCAAGAGATGACTCACTTGAAGTGCTTGGGACCCTGTTAACAATTTTCTAGAGTTCGCTCATTTTGACTTTGAAATGACAGGAAAAGCACACCATTCACATGTACATGATCATGTTTCATTGCTTTTTGGGAGCTGTGTGCCATGCAAACTTACAAAGAACCCAGACACACTAGTTGCTCCTCCCCAAGGGTGACTTCATTGCAGTGGCTCATGCAGCGTCATTGCTGGCCACCGTGATCTGCCAATCAATTATTCAGAGCTCCCTAGAAGGATTGCCATTTCACAATATGTACTCATCATTAGTCTCTTAAACAGGATTGTGCCGATATTTTAAAAATTTAAAGGGAGTAAATCGGGAGCATGGAGACCATGGGAGAGGGTAGAAGGGGAGGCGAGAGAATGGGAGGGGAGTGGAGAAAAATAAAGAGCTCAATAAAAACAATAAAAAAATATAAAAAATTAAAAAAAATCAAACAAAAATATCGGCTATAATCCTACAGCATAAAGATAACAGCTAATATTTTGGTATGCTTCAAGGTAATCTTAATGATAGATTTAAAAATATATAATGTATACTTACACAACTGAAGGAAAGTTTTACAACCTAAAAAAAAATTAAGGCAGTGGTGGTACATGCCTTTAATCCCAGTACTCAGGAGGCAGAGGCAGACAGATCTCTGTGAGTTTGGGGCCAGCCCAATTTACAAGAGCTAGTTCCAGGACAGGCTAGAAAGCTACAGAGAAACCCTGTCTCAAAATAAATAAATAAATAAATAAATAAATAAAAGTTTGAGAAGAAGTACATTGAGAAAGTGCTTGCTTAACATATGTTAGGTCCCAGATAGGGTGCTGGAGGCAAAGAACTTGTACTGCTCTAGCAGAGAACCTGAGTTTGGTTCCTAGTACCCAGGTCAGGTGGCTCTCAGCTCCTCTGGGAGCTGTGGGTTCCTAGGGTATCTATACCCACATGCACATACATGCACACAAACACACACGTGCACATATAACTAAAAGTAGGATAAAAAAAATCAACCTTAAAAAGTACAAGGGGATACTTTTAATAAGATTTGGGAACATCCAGTGGTGAGACATCTACCTACATCCATCTCCTCTGGTAGCTTATGATTTGCTCTATTTTACTCTGGACTACGACGACGCCGTGCTCTGTGAGGCTTCACCTCCCAGTGCTTCAGAAAGGTGAATTCCTTCACAGTAGTCCTTTTGTTCCAAGGACAAACAACCTATTGTCGGAACGAGGTTATTTCAATAAGCAATGAAAATAAGCTGCTTCGTGGGAAATCTGCCGTTCAGAATCAATGGGACATATAGAATTATGAAATAGTGGGGGATGGAAACTCAGAGTGCTGGTGGTCACACACAGTCAGACTCGAATTTGAGTAAATGCTTCTCAAATTTTCATGTGCAAAGAAGAACTTGTGGACATTATTAGTAGCATGTGTTGACTGAAGGCTGGGTGGAACTCAGGAGCCTGCATTTCTCTTTTTAAAAATTTATTTATTTATTCTTCTCTCATACATTACACCCCAACTGCAGTTCCCCGCTCCACTCTTTCCAGTCCCTCCCTCCCAACTTCCGACTCCCACAGATCCACTCCTCTTCCTTTCCCTTCAGAAAAGAGCAGGAATCCCAGGGATATCAAACTGGCCTAACAAGTTACAGTAAGACTAAGCACAGACCCTTATATCAAGGCTGGATGAGGCCACTCAGTAAAAGGAAAAGGGTCCCAAGAGCAGGCAAAAGAGCCAGAGACACTCCTACTCCCACTGTTAGGAGTCCCACAGGAACACCCAGCTACACAACCATAATATAGCTTTTAAGACCTAAGTCAGAGCCATAGAGGGTCCCTGATTGTCACCCTGGTGTCTGTGAGACCCTGTGAGCTCTGGTTAGTTGAAGAATCTACATTTCTAGCAAGCTCCTATGCTGTTGCCAGTGTGGCCCAGGGTCCACCACCTTCAGGTCACTGGTCACAGCGCCATTGTGCCTGAGCCATTTTCTCAAAGCCTCAGTTCTCTGGAAACCAGGGCAGCTCCTGTAAACTGGCTGGTCTAGGTATAAAGTTAGACCAGTGTTTGATGGTTAAACTGTTAGTTTTCAACATGGAGCCCCAGTGTTCTCTTCTACTTACAAAGTCTGTGTGTTCACTCTGGCAGGTTTTAATTGTTCAGTTCTCTACATAAAAATGCTTCTGACTTTCAGATGGGGTCCTACACTACTTTAATCTGTTCTTTCTTCACTTAATAATTGATAATTATTTCTATCTCATGAAAAAATATTTTGGAGGTTTTACAATATCTCTAAGTTTGGCAATCTCCTTAAAATTGAACATATGTTTTAATTAGAGTCTGCAGTGTGTTGGAGTTTATCTTCCTAGTTCTTCATCTGTAAAATGATGGGGTTGGACTAGATGATGTGGAAGGTTCTTCCAGTCTCCTGGGCTGTAGTATATCATGAAGCACTTACTGCAACTTTTCAGTGGACCCAGTTCAGTTCCCGGAAAGAATGCTTGGCAGTATAGGAGGCTGTCCCGTTGTTCTGGATTCTTTGCTGGACTTGCTGGGTGATTGTTTTCAAATAAGGAAGTGAGAAAACCCGAGGTATAGCACAGCAATTATTTCCTCTTTTTACCGAAGCTCTATTCTTTGCTGCAAGTCTCACTGGAATACAAAAATAGATTCTGTGAGACTATGTGGGAAAGAACTCGCTGGTGGGTGATACTGAGTTTGCTTCAGAGGCTCTTCTGTGTGTGTGTTTGCTCAGATGCCCATATGCATGCTTGCTCACATGCTGAGAGTGGAGAGAGGCACGAAAGCTTTTGTTTAGCATTGCAGCAGTGATAGTATCTGCTTTTGAAATTGATTGTTTATTGTCTATGTGTGTTCAGGTGTGCAGAGGCCAGAGATTGACCTTTGGTGTCTTCCTCTATTGCTGTCCACCTTGTTTTTCAAGATAGGTTCTCTCACTGAACCTGGAACTTACAGATTGGCTAGACTGACTGCTCCCCCCACCCCCACTGTCATTTCTCCAGCCCTAAGACTACAGACAAGCCCCAACATGTCTAACTTTTAGGTGGATGTTGGGGTTTGAACTCAGGTCCTTAGGCTTGTGCACAGTGTACCGTACCAACTGAGAACCCAGCCCTTGTCTGCTTTCTTCATTTGCATTATCCTCTACCTGCTTCCCCTGCCTCACCACACCTTCTATGTTTCAGGAGGTCTCATGGTATCCAAAATTATATATAATGTGTTTCCCCTTTGGTTCTTATGGGAAACTGT